CCCGACCTCTGCCTCTCGACTTCCCCGGTCTAGGCCTGGGCAACCTGGCGGTATCCCAGCCCTCGTGCTTCCTTCTGGTGGCATGGTAGTTAGGCACCGAAAGGGTGAGACGCCTGAACCATACGATGGACAAGCAGTTAGCCAGATTTTAGTAGCGCGTGTGAGCATTCACCAATCCTAGATGCTGTGCAGGTTTAGCACACTGAAACAACAGTAAAAAAAACAAGTAAGAGCAGTTTTAGAAATTTTTTATTCTCCCATATATGCGGTTCTGCCGTCGACTGGAAGTCCTCTTGGAACCCAAATACCTGGGAATAGGACTTGGTTATTCCAAACCCGGCTGATAGTCAAGTGTGGGAAAGCAAAACTAAACATATTGCGTGCCAGTGACAAACTCTTTGTTTGCACCACTCCCTGAGCACACGCACGGTAGATTCACATGGTTATCCACAACGCGTGATGATGCTCGCAGAATGTCGATTCGAGAAGCGTCACGTCTAACACACCGTAAATTTCACAATACTTGGCTATGTTAGGTTCACGTGGGGTTAGCTTCAACAGCTGAACACTGTGCTGCACATTTCAGGCAGGCTGGTGTGTTCGAACGAAGTTGAGATAACCCGATCGAGGGCCTGGACCAGTTGCTGGCCAACAGGAAGATCTGAAGCAGGATCTGCGTTGCAAGAAACGTGCAGAGCGGATATTGACCAATGGTGGCACAAACCAGCTCGTGAGTGAAGTTCATTTGGTCCAATATAGAGTGGCCCAACCAGGGGAGAATACTTAAGGTCAGGAATGGGTTGTTTCTGATTGGATGTAGGGTAAACGCCCACACAACTGTGGAGCTCAGAAGTGAGATGTTGAGATTCCGTACCAGTCAGGCCGAGTAGGGTGACGGCTGACACCGCGGGATCACTAATTGCGGACCATAGACGGTAGGTATTTTTTGCTGATCTGTTTGTGCAACGCGTTCCCTCATTTCATGTACTTGTGTAGTTGCCTGGTTTCAGCTTTCATCCTTTTCTACTACTCGTAGGTCCCTTATTACATAGTCGTGCAATTTTGTTTGGGAAACTTACCTGATTTCAATTGACACCTTAGTTTTCTGTTCACCGAGCTTGGCAGTTGGATTGCAAACGTTTCATCATCAATCAAGGTGACACCGTCAGTGCACTCGACCGCCGACCCGGAGAACAGACCAATAACCAAGCATTACACCCGAGTTACCTACATTCCGCAGCATCGTTAGCCTAGTTTCCACTATGTTGCTTGGTACAAAGTACTGCCAGTGAATTGCTGATGCATAGCATTTTCTGAGTCTGCTTGCGGGACATTCAGTTTTGTTCTTAACAGGAATTATTCCCATTGCTTTATGATGGTTGATTATGTAGGTATGGGCAATACTGGGCACAGCATTTTCTTAGAGTCCTCTCTTTTGGTGAGCTACTTGTTCCCTCCCCCGCCAAACCCTTGGCTGCTGCTTTATGTGACACTACTTGGCTGTCGCATATCAGTAGATAATAACAAGCCATTGGAAGTCATATTTAGTGAACTTGGGCTTCTCCAGGAAGCTCAAATCTTGCGGAGAATTGTTTGTGCCTATGTATCCTGAGTAAGTAGTTTGTCTTCTTGTCGCACAATGAGTTCATGATCATTTTGTATAGAAGCGATCATGGGTACAGGCTAAGATTTTGGGAATAAGCCGAACGAACCCTACGCCACGCTTAAGACGCTAGTCGGTAATCGAAACCCCATGACACACAGTATAGCAGCGTCGGCGATTGGGCTCTCAGATTGCCAGTCTTTCCGAATGGAATAGATGCAGATGTCTATGAGTACCGTGTGGCTAATTCCTTCTTTATACTGCGAATAGCTCTCCTTTATATACAACCGAAAAGTTATCAGCTTTCTCTGGGAGTCAGTCGAAACATTCATATCGCCTGGACGGCAGTTGAGGGTCATAATCCATTAGTCGAACGTACCATCGGATTTGGGCTTTTAATCGCTTTGTTCTTCGAATGAGCAATGTGATAAGCACGCCTCGATCTGTACGCATTGCGAGCGGCCACATATGTATGGACAGACTCAAGTGTCTTGTCCTACAGCGGAGTAACAAGCTCCGATTGGTGTCAGCCCTCATGATGAATCAGCTGTTTTGCTTTCGCACCGATTCTCTACATGAGACAGAACAACTCTAGGACACTTTCCACCAGATTCATGAATATGCTGACGGACGTTATTAGGATCACAACAGTACAAAAACAAGTATTTTTTGGCGCGTATGGTACCCATGAAACTATATATATATGAATGCGGCAACTAGAACAACTGGTCGCTTAAAAACAGAAAAATAAAAGACCGTTGTTTGAGAGGCAGGTTCTTTGACGGCCTGTAACTGATGCCGGTCAGTTGAGGTTGAGTGTCTGCTCGAATTGCTTTTGCGCACATGTGACAAGTCTGCACATTCGGTTGGCTATAGCCTTGGCAACGGCAAGCAGCCAAGTTTTCACACATTGGCCGGGACTATGTAAACCACCTGAAAGGACTCGCTGGTAGCGACACTGATCAGAATCAATCAAGATGCATGGGAAGTAAACTGGGATTTGGTTTTATAGTTCATCGGGCAATGTTCATGGATTTTATCGGACAGTTGGCCTGTTGTACGACCAGATTCCCCGAATAGAAATTCGAATTAATACACACGAAAGCCTTTTTCCAACCGTCGAAAATTGTCTGTTTGTTCCGTGTGAATGAAAGCTAAGCGTACGTTCTAAACAGATGTCAATTTGAATTAGGGCTCCACGAGCGTGTGCGTATCGGGAACCTCAAGACAAAGCGACGCAATTTTCTTTCCTGAAACTCATGCTCGTTTTTTCAAATACCATCATCAGTTTCCTTTGCTGTTGCTACAAGAATACATCCTGAGAAAAAACCTCAGATCTGAAGGTTTGGTGAAAATCTGGGAACTTGTAATGATAAATGCCTTCCGTATACCCAAGTTTGGAAATCGACCTTCTTTGGGAAGCATTACGAGTAGCCGCCGAACCGTGACTGACGCACCGAAAAGAAAGTATATCGCTACACGCTAACCGTCACTCAACGTACGACAGTTGATATACCTCTGTTCTCCGCCTCAGAACAACGAAAGGCGTGACCTCTACTTGTGACGAAACGTTTGCGACCGAGTCGCCTAGCTCGTCGAACAAACCGAAGATTCACCCAACAGAAAAGCTGAAGAACACGAACGGCACAAGCCAGCACACCAACCTCGAATTTTCAGATCCGTCAGCTGGAGTGAAAATTAGCGGAGTTTTTCTTCAGTGCAATAGGACTAAATGTCTCCTGTGGTTTCAGAGATGGCAGGTCGGCAAAGGTATTATTGGGCATAACCAGTCGAATCGTTGAATATCCCTCAAATACGTATTTCTCGGACACTATTGGTTACAAGAGATTCGTAATTTCTTTCAAACTACTACTCTAGAGGAAGTTGGTGAAAGAGTAGGTTAGCGTCGAGCAATAAACTGCGCTGTCATGACAAAATAATATGATCAGTCTACTGCTCCGTTACCAGTAGCTCAAATCCAAGACAAAATTCTGTTGACTTACACGGGTGATCAATTGATTATTGACGTTTTCCTCCACAAATGGCTGCCATTTTTGCTTTCACCCTAGCTAAGTATTGGAAGGCCACTCAAAGGATCTAAAATGCGGCCTCAAGGTTTGAGAGAGGAGGATCCAGATAGGCGTCTTATCAAACCGATACCCAAGAAGCGGAATTCCTTCGACGAGTTGGATCTCCCCTTCGCTCCCTTCCCTGAATATATTTCAGACGTTAGTTCCGCTCGATTCCGTGGATCTTCTGGACATTCTATCAGAGCGAATACGATCTCGGGCAATGCCAAGCAGAGCCCCTTGGCGTCGTGGGGAATCGGTTCAACAGCTATGCATCTAGCGACTCAACCGCTAGTAAGAGACAGTAGTGAGTAATTTTTTTTCTGTACTGATAAGATACGGAGCTAGGTTTCTTTTTAGATCTTCATACCGTGGGCAAATTATTGATTGAACTTAAATATATCTCCGGATCATTAAGCAATTGATGTTTAAATCTTAGCAGTAGGGGTACGTCGCAACTTTCTCTTTTGCAGGAAAGTCTTTTTTCACCAATTTGTTTAGTCATGATACTTCTACAGCTGTCCAAGAGTTTTCAGCAACCTTGTGCGTCTTACTTTCGGACAATATATTGAAATATTTCAAATGTCGTACCACATAATGTGGCCTAAAGCTAAAACAGACCACCATGAACGAGAGATTTAGCTAGGATCAGTTGGGTTTCCTGTCAAAAACGAATTCGAGTACGACTGAGAGTATGTATCTTTCCGTTCACTAGGAACCGCGGATTATATTGTGCTCTACGAAACGGACTCAAAATCAGAGGAGCCTCCCGCTTGTGCTAAGCCGCCATCGGCCTTTCGTGCACTTCCGCTTCGATTTGGTCTCTCAACCTCTCCTCCCGTCAGTACATCAATGTGTTCCAGACCTCCGGCTAACGCCCCTCTGGAGGTCCCACCTCCGCTGCCTCCGAAGCCGACACACTTATTTAGACAACCTTCTACAAAAACGGAGGCTCCTCAAACTTTGGAGGATGAAGAGGTTTCCAAGTTTATGGTCCCAACTGAAAACCAGCAAGGCGCACTGGTGCAGGTAAGTCTGCGAAACCAGAAAGGCACTACGAGTAATTGTCAGGTGTTTACTCATTTAGAAGACAATGCAGGTTAGGCGACAAGTTTCACTTCGCGACTGGAGTACGACTCACGAACTGAGCCCGGTGAATTGTGCCCCGAATGGGGCCCGATGTACGTCCTCACCACCTTCAATTTTTCATGAGAATATCCCCCATCGCTGAAAAGATATTGCCCTGGTTGGTTGCAGCGTTCCCTCTTAGGAAGTTTAGTCTCCGCTTTACAAAATCGACCTATATTAGTACAGTTTTTCAATTGTTGTGGTGTCCCCATCTTCCTTAGAGTCCCGTACCGCATGCAGCATCGAACGACTTCTCTAGGCAGTAAGCATAGCAATACACGACCAGTTGTCACGGTGGTGAGTAAATGTTCTAAGCACTGTGGCTGACCTTGAGCGCGATAATATTTCCAGGGTGAATGGACGTTTGAATATGAGCTGCGAGGCCGAATCGATTCACAGCAAAACAAATGGAACAGCCTCTTCAGAATTTCGAAATGTCACTCGTCAGTTTTTTAGTCTGAAAACATTGCTTCAACCCGTTGCAATCACTGTCATCTAAGTCAGTTTAATGGTCACTCACCGGCAATTCTATGAGTTCCGGTGGCTAAACGTTTTGTCCCGAACCGAGTGGAGTTGACCTTCAAATTCCTGTCCGTTAGTTATTTTTTGTGTGGTGATTCAGTGATCCCAAAGGCTTAGTCGGACTGTTGGGAGAATACCGTTTTTCTGATGGCATCTCACTCAGTCGCTGTGCATATTGTGCAGTCCATAATACATGGGGCCTGAGACTTCCTACTAATGCCTGGAACCAAACTTTGATTAATACTAAATTGCAGCGTTGAGAATCAGCCTTGATAAAAGGGGGCTACTGATAACGTTATCAGTCTAAAGACTTTCCATTAGGTATGGTTTGTCAACTTTGTGAACTTTGAAGACCGTCTCGACAACGCATCATCCGGCAGCATTGGACATGAGTAAGGAACACAACTTCAGAAGCTGTCAAGACAAGACGTTTCTTGTTCGAATCCACTCAAAGCATCACATCCTTTGGTTATCTCCTCTCCTCACATCATTATGAATAAATAAGAATCTCATAGGAAGAATAATTTTACTGTGAATCTTCCCTCTGAGAAGTCGTTACTCGAGGAGCCGGTCAACACGTTTTATCACGTGATATGGCTTCGGTTCTTGAAGGATGAGTGACACTGTATCCTGTCTGAGTAAAACCTAATTGCCACTCTTGGTGAGGTGATTTGGTGATCAACCACTGGTCGGAAAGATGCGGGTTAAAAATTCTCTGAGTTTCGTGAGATGGGCACTGTCGATGATTCCCCACAAGGACAAAAAAAGCTATACAATGCTTCTTACTGTTTCAGCATAGAATGGCTCCATGGACACGACGAAGTTTCTACTGAACTTACAGGCCTTCATCTGGCAAGCCATCCAAAAGCGCCCTAAATGTAATCAATTAAAAATGAGGACATTCACAACCAATGTTGCCTTAAAAATGCAGTCGGCTCATTTCACACGAAGCCTATCCGCACTTACTGCATCAGATCAGTTGACCGCAGTCACATGACCACAGCTTTTTGTCAGTATTACTCAGCTCTATGTTTGCCACTTTCGATTATATGTTGTGCATGGTTTTATCCTTAAGATATGAACAGCTGCAGTAGAACGAAGTGTGATTTACGCACTATAAATGCGGAAAGGTCAAGTCCTTTTGAAAACATCAGTTGATGAACAACCGAATTCACTCCCAAATCTCCCACCGGTTTCAGGTGACATCGAATCCCATGAAATCAAGCACATCCAGACGCCCACCTCCTCCGCCATACTACGTGAATCTGTTCGGTTCGGAAAGTAAAACTGGACATCCAGATAAATGTGTTGATAATAGAGAACAAATGAATCGTCCTGTGCCGGCTTCTGCGTTGAACTTTGGTGCATCTTTGGGGAATATGACGGAAGTCGACAGGTGGACTAAAGAGGCTGCCTCATCAGGCACACAGGTAAGAGAGAAATCATCTTTTGGGGCAATCCAGACATCCAATTTTTCATTGGTTTTCTACCTCTCAGTGGGCTTGGTATCAATCAAATTTCGGGCTACCTCACCAATCTCCCACCGTGTGACGGCTGTTCTTTGCAAGCCCAATAAAAAATTATCATACTGGTTTAACTACTTGGATATGGTAATCAGTACACAATTATTCCGACGGAAACTTTAGGCCAGGTGTGGACAACACGCTGATGCCTGGCGCTCCACAAATCGATAATCTAGTACCACCCGAATTGATCTCGGAAAGAATAAATTTCTGGCGTAGGCTTTGTTGGAGTCTGAGTTTAAATTCTTTAATGGTAGCTTTTACTGATGACATCTCGTTTAGTGAATAAACATTTGCAAGTTAATTTCCAAACTCCGCGGAAAGATGAACAGTCAACCGGTCAACAACGAATAAACGTGCCAGAGATACCAATATTTCAATAATTCATCAATGAATAGGTTAACCTTCTGTAGACTGGATACTGCCTGGAAAGAGAGTATCTGTTTTTTTTTCTTGGAAGTCAGCCTTATCTCGCTTCATGGACAACAAACGTCCTTCAGAACTTCTTCAAAACGTGGCGCTTTTCGGAGGGGGTTGACCAGTGGGGCTTTGGGTTTGTCCACTTATACATTTTTGTCTCTTTTAGATGGTTTCTGCATGATACAAACGGATGGTTTGTATATTTGATGGCAGTTTTAATCGATCGTTGTAGTGATACAAGTGCCTCGCCAAATAGATGACCCTGGAATGTAAACTGTGACCGACAACTGGCGCTGTTAAGTTGAAAAAAGTACTAGAGAAGCGTTTCTCATTTGGCTGTTATCCAAAACGCATTTGCCTTTCGAAGTATCGGATCGTTTCATCATCATGTTTTAAACTATGTTGAGAAATCTTGTTCATTGTCAGGACGGGTCCCACTCCCCTGGATGATCCACGTCAGCTTAGGCTATCGGTTACCGTAATGGCCGTAATGAAATAGGATAAGAATAGCTTTGAAACCACGGCATATAATGTGTACTTGTCGACCTGGGACCAAATGGCATAGAATATAATTGATCGCGGTTTAGTCAGTCCACTCCCACGCGGATGTCCCTTAAACCGGAAATGCCCTAGAAGCTACGCTTCCTCTAAAAAACACTTTCTCTTCCTCATTCTAAGCGTTCCCAGCCATCCAGAAGATTTGTACCTCCGTCCAAAGTGTGCCCAATCAATCTAACGGAACACTTGGAACAAGCCGGGTACCCACTGGAACAGCTTTGTTTGGACAGCGACATTGTGAGCGATACGGGAATAGCGAAGACTAACCAACAGTCCATCTGCTTCAACGCACTTTTCAATCGTTGGTTTCGTATCGGATCTCATCGATTCTTGCGTGATAAACACAGAGCAAAGAGTCTGGATGAACAGAACCCGAAATTATCGTACAACTTGGATCCCAACCGGTTGGCGATGGAGACAGATTTCCGAGTTCGGCTCACACGTACCCGATGTGGGGGTCACATATGGATTGGGAATTCAACGCAACAGCAAAAACCTGTTTACCTGCGCCCGCGAGGATGGCATTCACTGCGTTCCACCTTGGACCCTGAAAACTCCATATCCCAAAATCTTGGCCGATGCTCACCTGCGGTTGGACGTAAACGACAGAATCAACAAAACTGGAGGCAACGGTGGCTTGTCTGTGATTTTGGCTATCGCATTCTTGGCGTGTATGACGAACAAAACGAGGCCAAACAAAGAGGTACGTATCTGGAAGATTGGATTAATTAACGTGTTCACGTCACAAAAATCCTCGTTGTGTATTCTTATTGAAAAGTTTGAATTGAACATCATCCATGTAACGAATGGCTATTCCACATTCAACTTTTTGTAAAGGTGCGATAGGACTTGCTTGCAGAGTTCATTTTGACTGTTTGATCCGTTTGGCTGAAAACTAATCACCATCGAGAGACGTACCATCATCAGTGAGGCGTTCCACCACATTGATTATCAGTTCGGTTGAGGCAAAGAAATCAACAGACATGTATTAAATCGATTCGAGAACTAAGCGTGCCGACAAGTCTACGGGTTTTGGTGATAGCCTGCGAAGTAACGTCCAGTCACGAAAATGTGTTCGCCACAGCCAGCGGTTGAATTAGTCCGACTGTCTGGCTACAAATGGATTAGTAAACTGCATGTCCTAATGAACATTGATCCCCCAGCTAACACTCGTACCGTTCATCGGTCACTAGCTTCGAGTTACGCAAATTTGTTGGCTTACACACAAACATGCGACCTTTCCGAAATCCTCAAACTAACTTGCGCCAATTAGCAAACCCTTCAAACTGTACCTGCGGACCAATAAGTAGTCGTTATTCTCCTATATAAATCGCAAAATGTTTTCATCATTGTATAATTCCCTACATCCTTGTGGGATAATGGTTATGCGGTAGTTCCACTCAGGTGAAACTCAGCCAACCAGGGCGCAGTGCACTGTAGAGTCCATAGCAGCATTTATCGGTGGCATAAGCCTACTTCTCGAAGGAGCGATCACCAGCCATATGGAACAAACTACTTCGATCTCTTGGTAACTTTTTGTTGTATCGTGAGTGGCCGTCCATTGGTTACACCTGCACTGAGCCTATCGGCCTACGCGATTTGGAGAAGGTAGAAAACTCGGGACACGGCTGTATTGTCAGGACGAAACATGCAGACCTTCTGCGTGAATATCGAGGATCACTAAATGGCCAATTTCGGTCGTTCGCTTGTTCGTTCTGTACAGCCAGTGGCGATGTTCCGGTCGTGAACAATTTCAGCCCCACCCCGCTGGTCGTATGTTGCTAGGCCGTGTTTGGTGTGCTTCGCCAACGCACCTGCTATCCGGAACGTGTGGGACCGATGGTGACCTTGGGGACGCGTCGTTCTCTGCGCATGCACTTTTTCCGAGTCTGGGCACGTGCCGACACTTTCTTCCTTGAGGGTTGATTGCTGCAGTAAAGGACCCAAGTAAACGAAGAAGTTGGATCTTCTATGGAAGTTGACGGTTGTAAACACTGTAGTTTTAATCCGATTTCTTTTGTCCACGCAAAACATAGATGAAATTCACAATTTTGTCCCCCCAGACATCATGGAAAGTACTTCTCAGTGAGTAATACCCTAGAATTTACGCCATTGCCAGTAGCAGAGAACAAATCAGCAAGACAGTCAGTCGAGTGGCTACTGACCGATTGAACGATGTACGGTCATAGACAAGCGATCATGTCTGATAAACACGCGCTCCTTCTGACTGGCTGAGGGCGGTACTCTACAGAAACTGTCTAAACACATTAGGAATGCTTATTCCGTTTCCAAAAACATTCATTCAAAGTCGAATAGGAGCCTGAGGAGAATCGGAGAACATGGCGAAGAACTGGGATTGCGAAAACATTGAAGGACCATCTCTTCCAGAGTATCCTTTTAGTCCTGCATTACCTATGTCACTACAGATTACCCATCGAGTTGAATAGCTCAGCACAGAGCCATACAGGGGTCGCATACCTACTCAGCCACTTGGATACCTATCGGTGTGAATTTTTGGCTTCCAAACCCAACCCATGCATAATGTATAGGTAAGTGGTTTCCAACTTCGTTGTTTCTCTGCCCAGCCGTCAGCCGATCGATACTCCAAACCTTTCTGATGAGCCAATAGCCTCTCACGTGACCGTCATGCTGGAATGGGTGGACTTAAGGCACATATCGATGGATAACGTCTTATTTATGAACAATATAGTTTGCAATACAGTCACGACTAATTGGACTGGTAGCCATCAAAAGCCTTGGCCACACACCGTATTCTTGAGACTATAATCGAACATCTGTCTTCGTTTTTTTCGCCTGATGAATTTTCTGGTTCACCCAACAACATCTGTATTGGTCAAATATCGGCAAATGAGACGTGCTTTCAGCTGAATTGTACGCACTAATCAGAGTTGGGATCGTCCGTAGTTATACTCTCAACTTCTATTTCCGTATTCCAGACTGCATTCCTTTTGCCTCCATGAAGGCAATCCACTGCGGAATGAATGTGGATCACAGTCCACCCAGAAACACATCGCCTACGGTACCAAACTGGGATGGAGGCGAGAACACAGATAGTACACCTTTCGAACCCCTCCATCGGGTTTCAATCGGAAGTGAAACTCAAGCAGTTGCCAAAGTTCCAGACTTATTTGAGCAATGCATTTTCCAAGTTGAGTGTCCAACCAAATTGTATACGATGCGAACATCCAACATGGCGCTTAGGAATCTATGGATCACAGTGCTAGAACTTGGTAAGTAATGTGGGCGCAAGTTCACTGTACAACCACTGTGTCTGGTATTGGTCTTGACGGATCACACTGATTTTTATGAGAGGGTTATGTTGTGGCTTGATGTACGGTAGTGCAACTCGGTCCCTTGGCTTCCTGCTCCGCCCACTATGGTATATCGAAAAGCACGGTAGCTCTAGACAGCCCTTTATGGAGACAAAGGAAAATTATTAAAACTATTTATAGGGTAGTCACAGTGTTCCACAAGGTCGTGCCAGAATCTCCGTGAGGAGGCGAGGACCGTCGAGTCAAAGATGCTCGATTCGGATTGGCTGGCATTCTGACCAATCAGGGCATGTCTTCGTTTGGTCCGTATCCTGCACGTGACAAATCCGTCCAGATGATGTGATGCTTGGTTATTAGGGACGGCTGGCCTCTGGACAGGTTAACCCTGTTGTAAAGAATGAACAAGAAGAAAACTGTCACAGTTTGGTCCATCGAGAGGTTTTAAATTTTGAATTCTCTCAGTTAGCAACGCATCTAGTTAACGCTAGGCTGTTCCCTTCTCTAGTTTATCCACGACTGGAATATTAGTGCAAGATGATGAACCTGAGTAGGATTTATAAGACTTCATACTCAAGGACATTACAAACCGGAGGTTTATCTGACTGCCTAAGGTCGGACGAGAGCCATAAAACGAGAAAATTCATCAGGGAGATTTTTCATGATGACAGGAACAAAGTCATTGAACACACATCGTGTTGCCGAATGATGCAGCAGCCTGGCGCTCGCTTTAACTTCTGTTTCGTCTGTTATAGGTTCCAGCCTGTGCGTTGTGCATCCTTCCTAAGCTGAATTGAGGGCCAAGGCAGAGAGATGACGACACCAGCCGTCAAGGATGACGGTCGACAAGCCTTCCCTCTTGAAGAGTAAAAACATCTATTTTGGAAACCAGAGCATGATTTCTCCTTGATTACAAAGCATTCGTTTAGTTAAGGGAGAACGGCCTTGTCACGAGTTTTTCAGTGGTCAGAAAACGGTTCAGTAGAATGAGGGAAGAACTAAACCAATCGTTTCAAATAAAGATAGGTCATCATCCGGTGACACTCCGAACGAACTTTGCTGAATATTATACAGTTCTTCAAATGAACGCGCTGTATCAGATCGCCTGACATCTCATCTATTACGATATTCAAGATATCGTAATAGATTGTACAGTAGTACACTACTAACAAGGTTGCAACATATCGAATATTGTACCAGCTGAAATGTAGCACACTCACTGAAGAAGAACACATTAAATGGGGAATTCAGCTGGGTTTCAGGTGGGTCTTCGTCAAAACTAGATTGCTTTGTGGATGAGTAGAATTTCGTGCAATTAGAACACAAGCAGCAGGACATTAGGCTGAAGGAAACTTGGTGGCTGCATCTACCTGATGAGCCTGTAGAAGGGTGAAACAGGTTGTGGGCTGTTCTCAACAACCTTATGAGTAGTGTATTACGACCAAACATCTGTCGCTTCCGAAGTCCATTTACGTCGGACAGTGAAGCGGTCATTCTGCTATCGGCCACACAGAACACAGATAGAACTTTGTGGCTGAAAACCTTTCAAAGAGAATTGCCGTTGGGCTGCACAGTATACCCTCATCATACCTTCGTTCTCTGTCGCATCGCTATTGCAGAGGAAGTTCTCAAAACGTGCTTTATTATCGTAAGAATCGTTTATTATTCATCAGTTAAATCACCCTACTTCTATCATGGAGAGTAGTATATTTTATCACGAAAAGGGGTCAAAGCTCCAAAACCGTGCATACCGTTTGTCGTATTCGACTTGCACCAAACACATCGTCTGCGTTACATCTTATACGAATGTCGCCCATAGCGAGCAACATTAGCATTCATTAATAAAGCTACAGAACTAAAAGGTACCCAGGTGACCGTGTGGACAAATACGGCTTCGAGGACTCAGGTTAGAAACCCGCGTTTGAGCTTTCAAGCACTCTGCTAACCCCTGTCCTCTCAACCCGTCTTTGTGTTGTTTCGGAAAGAAAGGTGCAAAAAGAACTCTTCCTTACCTTTGTCGAATCTCCCAGAAGGCAATTCAGGTGCGAACTACCCATATCACGTGATAGAATACGATGGTCAAAGCTAATAGGCTGGTCCAATCTCCATCTTACGGATTATGCTGGTTATGATGATCGCGAGTTGTAGACAAAGCTAAGGAGTCGGTTGGAGAGGGGGCGTGTTATTCAGTCACTTTTAGGGTCAAGGGGTCACGTTTCAACTACGGTCTGAGTATCAAATGAGACGAGAACAACGCACGGAATAGATAGATGCAAACGTAGTTGATCGAAAGCAATGCACAGACGGTTTTGTTCACCATGTAGCTGCAAGACGCATTCGCTTTAGCACTGTTCTGGTGGACTGTAGCTAGTACTGACTACAGATAAAGGAAGGGTCTACCAAGTGCTTATCACAGGATGAACTAAAGCGTTACTGCTTGCTCAGTCAAGGAGTAGTGTGAGTAGACAGACGGCTTGTGCTCCGCGTGAATCACCGTTTGGCAGAGGCGTCTCGTCTCCCACGGCGGATGAAAAAGAAACGGGCAGTTCGTTTCATTTGAATCCTCAGGTTTCTTTTTTTTGAGAAGCGGACGAACTCCGTCCCATTGTTATAGAGCATTCGAACATACTTGTGCACGCGCTGCACCGAATCACACAAAGCTGCTCACAAAGGTGGAATACGGTAGGTAAGCAAATCACTCACTTACGGAGAAGGCAGTCAATTTAAATGAAGAGCTTTGATTACTGGACGCTTATCAAATAAATCATCCCGATCAGGGATTCACCCCAATTCCCCGATGTTTAGCGCACTAGAAAGAACTAGACATACGGTAGATGTGTAAATGAACCATCCTAGATTGAATTTTCTTTGCTCCGAAAGTCCATCTGACTGATCCACGGCCTGGTATAACTTTTGTGACGCCGTTAAGCTCGTTTCTGATTGAGTTTAACCAGCCTTTCAAAGCAATTCAAACTAAAAACTCTTTTCTCCTTTTTTCTTCAGCGAAAGAATACGGTGGCCCTCGATGATTCCATAACGGGTCGGAACAAAAACCCCTTAACTATAGGGAATTATTTTGTATTTTAAAATGAAAAAACGCCATGACATATTTTATAACCGAAACACGCGTTCTGTTCGGTCACTCGGCTTCCACATTGAATTACTGCAGAAGATAGAAAGGTATGAGTGATTATGTCCTAACAAAGTACCCAACTCCCGGTTGGCGAATACAATCACGATTGTCAAACACCACTCAGGTTGGTGTGGCAGCAGAATCTATGGCAGACTATAACCCCCCAGTTAATTATCGCCTTCTACTTATCACCGTCCTCTCAGAAGGATACTTGGGCCTTCGAACCATGTGTTAGTTGATCACGAACTGTTTAGACGCAGCGGTTTTCATTGATACCGATTACGGTCAAGTCTTTTTTTCGAGGACATTCTACTGAGAAACCAGAGCCAACAGTCAAACAAAATCTCTTTTAATGCTCGGACAGCAATAAAGCAGTTTTGACCATCAAATTAACAAGAGTGAGATCTTCTAGGTACGGAGTTCTTTTGATTCCATCCAAGGCAAAGAGAGGGTTGATATGAATCTCTCGTTTGTAACATTTCACTCAACCGATGAACCCAAGGTAGGACATACCCGATTGTGGTCTCTTCGGAGTTTTCAGTGACCTCATGAGTAGTATTAACACGCGTCAATATGCTGAATAAGATCTCAACGGAAACACGCTAGCCTTTCTGCCCGTGTTCAGTTGAACAATATTGTAAGCAAGAGATTGAAGTGAATTTCGACTAATTTGCCCGTCAAGGGCAACTTGATTTGTAGATTTGTGCTCCCCGCAACATACCTATAAATTGGTGCCCGAGAATCAAGCAAGCTCGATGGAGATTCGGAGAGTATGTCTACCTAATTAGACCCAAGAAGTGCAAAATTGGTGATGTGGTGTCCAGAGTTCTCACTCGACTAATGAGTATTGAAAGACTCCGAAGGGTAAAAATAACCAACTCCGTTTGTTGCTGATCAGATGTCTATCGATTTGTTCGCTGAGCTGGGCAATTAAGTTGCGAGTGTTTCGTAATCCAACGAGGACACGTCACCATTGCGCGGACTGACGAATACTTCTATACATATTTGGATTAGCTGGCCAATCCGATTTCAGGAACAATAGCTTAAAGTGTAGAGGTGACCACCGCCCCGCTTTTACGTATTTTTCATTGGCTGAAAATGGTTGAAAAATAGTTGAAAAATGGTGTGGGACGGCCGGGGTGTTAGCACGGGGCACGAGGTTNGACGGACGGGTGTTAGCACGGGGCACGAGGTTCAACAGGACCAAAGGAGGACAGAGGGGACATGGCCTTTAGTAGGATCAGGAGATTTTGAAATTTTAGTCGATATTTCATCACAAAAATGAAGTCAACCTATAGTCGAGAAGCACTTTCCAGATTTGTGAGACGGGCACTGCTGATAATTCCCAACAGGGATGAGCAGCTCTGTAGTGCTTCTCGAGTCTTCGGCATAGATTGCCTTCACTTGTAGGGTGAAATATCTGATGCAGACTCGGTTCGACTAGTTGGTCTGCAGTATTCCAATGTGGCAGAGTACTACTCGATCATGAGGTAGCAGAGTTTAACAGGTGGTCTTCCAAGAGTGACGGATAGTACTATCCAGTTCAGTAGAACACAGCAACCTCGCTGACAGGCACCAAATTGGGACCAATCAAACTAAGATTTTCGATTGTCGCAAACTGGTTTTTAGTTGGGAAGGCTTCTGGGTTGACTGAAGCGATTGTGGGCAATTCAGGTCACTACGAGGGAGATCAAACAGAGTAGATACCGACGTCAACGATATTCCGGTTGACAAGAACGTGAGCAGAGCAGTACGCCTCAATAAAAGGTGTCTTTTGGTCCTACGTATACTTACCACAGGTTTTAAAAATAAGTTAGTACATATTCGCCTCAATAAAAGGTGCCTTTTGGTCCTACGTATACTTACCACAGGTTCCTTGTTACAAAATAATGTATTGCGTCCGAGATCTTGTCCACGAAATCGAGGCGGAAGAGTGATGTGGCAGACTTTATTTATCCCCGCACTTCCGTGGGCAATCAGTCGTCTTATACTTCTCTGGTCAACAATTCCTGATATCCAGCCACACCACCGATTAATCGATCAGACGAGTCACATCCTATTCGATCCCCTTTGTCACGGCGTTTCAACTACCACGTAAGTCAATGCACGATAGCAGAGGGCTGATTTCGCTCGTAATAATGATGATCCGGCAATGGAACTCTGAAGAACGCTGGTGCTCACAGACGGTCAGCTAGATTTCGACGAATCTAACCCACCCCCATGCTCTTGAAAGATGGTTAGAATAGCAATGCTAAGGGACGTTAGTGACAATCAGTTAGTAGTACCAGCCTACCTTTTGCGTCTTGCAGTGATTGCTTCTGCATAAACGATGCAACTGACTGCTTGAAAAGCAGATGGAATCGGGTCTTTCTATTCGTTGCTGACAAAGAACTTCTGTTGCCGACGAGTAACATAGTTCAGAACCGTTCGCATCCATTCAGTTGTGCAAGGTGAGACTCTTTCCTGATTTTTCAGTAGTAGAACTCACTTACTCCTACCTGGTGTGAATGTACTGTGAAGGGGTTGTACTCCTACACATGAGAACACTTTCCCAGGAGCCATTTTGTAGGCAGCACGGAGTTTCCTTACGTATTGAGGTCTCCCATGAGGGGTCCATCCCCAAAACTAAGATGACACCACTTCCAAATGGCTGGATTCACTCCGCAAGAGAAACTCCCACAATGGAAATGCACCGTATTTTTAGTCCATATTCACTAAAAGATTGTCATCTTGATCGGCTGACGGTGGAAACACTGTTGGTGCACTACGCAACCACTCCACCAGGCTACCCTTAACTGCTACTGATTAAGGTCGACGAATAATGTAGCTTAGGATGCGACCATGACATCGGTCGGCGGGACACATCACAACTTTGATACAGATTGAGGGCAAGCAGACATGAAGAACAGCCACCACCATTCCGTTTCAAACAATCACCGTCTTTTTTGTTACATCAGAGCGCACTCTGACTCAATTCCAAGCAGGTTGTACGAACAATACAGGTAGATGATTACTACACCAATCCACCGAGCTGCACCGATACGTGGAGGTTATTCCAAAGGAACATCACAAACGAGAGATTCAGCTGGGTTCCAGGTGAGTCTCTCGAAAAACCAAATTAGTTTGCAAATAAGTGTATCTTCGCTGGTTCCGTGCAATTTGGTTTCAAGTAGAACATTCAAGTAGACATAAGGGGGCTGCGCCTACCTGATGAGCCCCAAGGAGGGCGAAAACGGTCGTGGGCTGTCGACGGATTTTCAGCAACCTTATGAGTAGTACATTACAAAGAAACAGTATTGTTTGCACCCGCAGATAGTTAGGGCATCCAAAGATTGCCTACGATAGGGATATTGCTGATCGACCATCCCACAAAGAAGCACAACAGTCGAGAAGACAGGACGAATATCACACAGATTTGCGGGCCCGATTGAAAGGGCCTACGAGCCGCGCTAATCAGCATTAAGCCTTCCTGACTGCCTATTCTGTTCGATTGGTTGTGTAATCAGAATTTTGCTGGTACTGTGCCATTTCGCAGTACGGACAACACAACTTTTAGCGTGAACGGTTCTGGTACCAGTTTATCCCACCACTTCAGTTGATACACCAGCAAATGTTATCTCTGCGAGAAACAGAAGTGATCAGTACTTCGACCAAGAATAATATCTGCCCCTCAATCTCATCTGCAAAGTTGCTACTGAGTTCCTTCCAGAGGAACACCAGCAGGTCGCAGTGGTATCTCTGAAACACGTCCCCAAATGTAGTGGAAACTCATGAACTGAAGTGCTACGTTCGAAAACCCGTTGACCGAAAAATCCTACACTGTATGCCCAACAGCTGCTCACCTACTGGAAGTTTATTTCGCACACAGTGCAGTGTCCCAGTAATGAGACTGCGACTACGCTTTCCCCGCTCGAATTACCTGGATTCGACCATTTTCACAGCGGTTGTGGCATGATCATCGCCCCGTTTTGGGGTATGCGTTTGGTTGCGTCCTGCAAAGCGAACCCTATTGTACGAGATGGCTTGTTGTTTACTTGCCTAGCAGGAACTCGTGTGACCGTGAGACGAACTAACTGCTTAGATGCTGTTCAAAATACGGGACGGCTTATATATAAGTTCCCTGGAACCAGGTATAACAATTTCAACAGCTATTCGATATCGGAAGAAGGTGGACGGTCAGAGGAAGCAGGTGCAACACCCACACTTGGAGGAGGTGGATGCAAATAGGTTGAAGACTTCTCGCATGAGTTGACCCACTGGGAGGATAGAACAGCTTTGAAAGTGTGCAACACCTATGCCTATTAGCCATTCATAGAAGGTGCTTTTTGAAGGCTTTCAGTTCTGTAAAAAGGTAAGGTAGACCGTTCCCACTGAATAGGTCAGCTAGACTTAAAGGTACCACCCGAATGTGCTCGGAGGCCAGCCGTCCCTAATAACCGAACATCACATTTGGACGGACGTGTCACGTGCAGGATACGGACCAAACGAAGACATGCGTTGATAAGTCAGAATGTCAGCCGACCCGAGTCGACCATCCGTGACTCGACGCTTCTCGCCTCCCCACGGAGATTCTGGCATGACCTTGTGCAACGTCTTGTGCCTACCCTATAAATACGGTTGTAATAATTTTCCTTTGTCTCCATAAAGGACTGTGTAGAGCTGCCGTGCCTTTCGATTACCATAGTGGGCGAAGCAGGAAGCCAAGGGACCGATATAGAGTTGCACTACCGTTCAGCAAGACACAACAGAATGACAATTCCGCGAATAGCACTCAAGCTGAACTACCTAAGGACGTACAAATGACCCCCACCCAGCGAACCAAGTCAAAATAAACTGAGTCTGATGACATTCTGGAGCAATAGTATAATATCATTATCATCCTGTTCAGTTTGATAAGCTGAAGATAGAAAAGAGAAAAATCAATGTACACGGGTATGAAATGCATTGTGACAGTGAAAAAAGAACAGAGACCTTCAGCATGGGTTTGAGTTCTGTGGGAAAGGAGCGGTAAATGCCTGGGAGGTTGAAACCGAAGGCCTGGTGCAGAAATAGCGAAACAAGCAGACCGCGTACTGCTGGAGGGATGAATAAGACAGCGAAGGAAGTCGGTGTCTGGATAACAAAAAATAATGAGATCCTTCGCACACGGAGAACAAGGACAACCAACGGATAGAGACATTGAAGGCCTAGTTGGAGGTAGTTTGAAAAGTACACCAGGGTTCACCGTACGCAGCACATTCTCCTATTCGTGTTGTTCAGCTAACTGATTGGCCAGCTCAAGACAAAGGGGGTATAGAAAAGATGCTATAATGACTAGTGTGGCACCAGGTCCATGGTATATCTGTGCCTCGCAGAAAAATCAACGATCCTGAATAAAAGAAAATGAGCACAAAGAAAGAAATCCAACAGCAAGTAGAATAATAAATGCGCCTGCTACGTGATGCAAAACAGACTTGTCATGATAATTCCAAAAGTGGTGGGCGTCAAAATGCTTGAAATGACTTATATGGTGGCGACGGGGTTGGGAGTATAACCGGGCTTTTGTTGTTCTTGTTCTGGCAAGCAAAATAAATGAAGATAACGGTGAAAACCGGGAAGGGCGGCAGTGAGAGTCGGTCAGTATTTAACACAAAGAAGGGGAGCATGGAGAGAATAAAAAATAACAGTCTGTTGTTCCTAGGCCTGTCCCGTTCCCACGCACAGCTGAACATACGTGACAGGAGAAAATACAGACAAGCACTGCTGGCAAAGAAGTGTCAGAGCTATGAGTGTGTACATGAAGTACAATGTATGTATAGGGTGTGCATGTTGGTATGTGTATGTACATAATAGACGACAATCTGATCCTAAATTCTAGAGTTACGTTTGGCAAGGTCTGGGGCGATCTGGGTGAGAGATACAACGTTAGCACGGTACGAATCTGTGTGAATGAGGTAGCACACGTGTTTGCGTGGGTGGGTAAAGGCAGGGGGACAATGCAATTGAAGATCAGCCAACTTTGGGTGGCAGGATGATGGGATTCGATGTCGCATGGTTCTGTGTATCACTGGTTCCCGATGAGGCTGTTAGAGTTAAGGCCGCTGCAGCTGCAAGGTACTGTTGGTGTTGGTGATGTTGCTGCTGCTGTTGATGGTGTTGCTGGACTTGCATGTACTGTTGGTGTTGATGAGCGTACTGCGAAGGCACCATCCCAGGCATGAATTGAGCCGCTGCTGAAGGAAACAGACTTATCGCGGCAGCAGCAGCTGACTGAGTTGGAGTAATTAGATTATGATGGTGTTGAAGCATGGCTGTGTGTTGTTGCATTAATTGCTGCTGGTGTTGCTGTTGTAACTGTTGATGTAGCTGCATGACTTGTTGGTGCTGAAACATTTGATGTTGTGCGTGGGTCTGCTGAGTTAACTGTGTCTGGGCCTGTTGTTGCAGTTGTTGATGTTGTTGTTGTTGCTGCTGCTGTGGTTGTGGCTGATAAAACTGGAAACCAGTGCGGGCGGTTGACACCTGGTGTTCTTCAGGCTTTATTGATGATATTTCTGGCTTGACTGCCGGATGATGACTACTGGTAAACTGGGTCTGCTGCTGCTGTTGTTGTTGCTGTGGGCGTGGTTGCACGAAGGCCGAAGAGGAATTGGCATACAGGTGTTGTTGCTGTTGGTGGTGGCTATGCTGAAATTGACGCCCGAGAGCAGCTGCAGCCATCACAGCAGCAATGTTGCTGGGAGCTGCGGGGACAACTGGTGTCGAGGTATGACTGGCAGTAACAGAATCCGGTATGTTGGAACGAGAAGGAGTCGACGAAGTGGCAGAATACAGAGAGGGTCGTGTGCTAGGGGTCGGGTTACTAGTACCGCTGTTGCTATTGGCAGCTGTCGCGTAGGAGGATGTCGTGCTTGGAGCTGAGCAATGTGAAGTAACTGGGGACAACTGCGAGGTATGACTGGCAGGAACAGAATCCGGTATGTTGGAACGAGAAGGAGTCGACGAAGTGGCAGAATACAGAGAGGGTCGTGTGCTAGGGGTCGGGTTACTAGTACCGCTGTTGCTATTGGCAGCTGTCGCGTAGGAGGATGTCGTGCTTGGAGCTGAGCAATGTGAAGTAACTGTGGACATGGTCGGTGTTCCGATGAAAGAAGTTAAGGCGGAGGCTGCGTTCGCAGTGGTCGTTCCAACGAAAAATGGCATCATGTGAGTCTGATACGCATTCTGGTTAACTGTTGGTTGTTGATATAACGGCACAGGCATTGCCAGGGTTGTAGCTGGAGTGACCTGGCGAGGTTGTTGAGCTGCAAACAGAGCTGGGTGGTATTGGGCTATACCAGCAAGAGATGCAAGGGTGGAATGGTGTTGAGCGGGGAATTGCAACTGCTGGCAGGTAGGAATGGAGAACGGGAACGTTGGCGTCATTCCCGTGGATGTGGTTGGTGCGACGGCATTTTCAGTCTTTATCGCCACATCTGCACCAGTCAGGGATGGATGGGTTTGAAATCCCAAAGGACTGACAAATGGTGCGGCAGCACCACCAGCTATTGAGGCAAGTCCAAAGGCCGCGGCCGTCGAGAGCACGGTGGTCGCGTTAGATCCTCCAACGGCTGCCGCAGCTGCTGCAATAGTGGACAGTGTGGACAGGGCAGAGGTGGTGGCAACGTTACTGTCCAACGGGAACGATTTTTCGAAGTCAGTAGCGTTGACTGTCGTGGTAGAAACGGCTGCAGCTGCTGCGGCGGCCGCTGCTTTCGACTTTCGACTACCTCCGGTTGCTCGAGGTCGTGGACCATAAAGATGGGTGCGTTCGTGAAGCCGCCGCTTGTCTGATCGCGCAAAACACTTTCCACAATGTGTGCATTCATACGGCTTAATCTTTGTATGAATTCGCTCGTGGATCTTTAATTTGTCGGATCGGGTAAACCGCTTGGGACAAAATGTGCACGCGTAAGGTCGAACGCCCGTATGGGTTCGATGGTGAATCTTTAGCTTGTCAGACCGTGTAAAACGCTGCTTACATGTGGCACATTCGAACGGTTTGACGTTCAGATGGGATATCTCGTGTAGTCGCATCTTGTCAGCCCGGAGAAACGCCTTGCCACATATAGAACACTTGTGTGGTCTGATGTCCGAGTGGGTGAGCTTGTGGTTCTTCAATGACTTCATGCCAGAATAACGCTTGAGACATAGGTCACATTGATACGGCTTGGCAGCAGGGTCGTCTGCATGTGGTGGAGGAGGTGGATCACCCAAAGATGGATCGAGTTTCAGCAAGATCTCCTCGGGCAGAGTTGGCAGAGGGGATAAAATGCCTGGGAGCGGAGACAGAGAACGTTCACTCAGAGAATTGCAGTTGAGGGAAGTGAGACCTGGCACAGAGCCAGACAAGACACAATTCAGGGAAATGTCTCGGTTAAGTGGAACGGAAGTGGGGCAGGATAAAACGGTGGCACTTTCATTGTTGAGATGCACTGCTGTATTAGGAACGGCAGTTACGGTGGGACTCGTGGCGCATGTTGTGGATGATATACTAGTGATTGATTTCGATTTGGATTTTCGTCTACTTTTTTCCGGCTGTTTGGGTGTGGTTGTGGTGAGCTGAGGTTGGAGGCCCTGTGGTTGGGCAGGCTGTTGCGAAAGTCCCAGGTCAGGAAGCTGTGGAGTTAGGTTTGGCATTACAAACCCCATCGCAGGTGTCATATGGTTATGTTGTAAACCAGTCGAGAGGGTAGACTGGTTGGTCGATTGTTGTTGTTGCTGATGTCTAAACAACTGTTGTTGCTGAAGCTGCAGCTGTTGCTGGTGCTGTTGCATTTGTAACTGTTGTTGGTGTTGCTGCTGGAGCTGCAGTTGTTGTTGCAAATGTAGCTGCTGTTGTTGCCGCTGCTGTTGCAGCTGTTGTTGTTGATGTGGTGAGGATGCCTGCTGGTTCGTGGTCGCCGACGGCAGGCCGGAAGACACGGTCGGTGAAGTCATACCGATGGCTGTAACTGGGCTGTCCAGAACTGCACCACGTACATTTGTAGTTTGCTGATGCTGTTGTTGTTGTTGTTGTGGCTGCTCCTGTTGATGATGATGAGATGGGAATTGAAAAGTTGGCGTTATTGGATGTGGCGGTGACAAAGGGAGTGTAGATGCTGCAGTTCCTGCACCTGCCGCCGCAGAAAACTGCCCCCAGGTGGCGAACGGAGCGTTTTGAACCATAACTAGGTTGTATGGGGGGGGGGGGGAGAAAGAAATGTAGGAACACATGACAATAATAAATACTGGCTAGATTCATATCACAACAACAAAAGTACGTGTGGGATAGATGAGTTACACTGGCCCGAAATGGCATTTCCTCATCCAATTCGGCTAAATGAAATAGGCAAAGATAGTTATGACAGTTCGGTACTTTTAGAAACGAACAACCATAAGCTACATTTTGGATACCTTGAAATCGCGTGTTCATGTGAAGCACAAAACGTCAGCACATACTGTAAATGCAATGCGCCTTCCAATAATGTCATACTTTTTGAGTTCAGAGCCTAACCTTTAGTTTCCACGGACAGAAAAGACTGATTTTGTGTAATGAAGTAGGTCCTCAAGAAAGGATGGGTTAAAAACGACTCCAACTCATGTGACTTAACGGTTGGAAACGCACTTCGAAGGAGCGGAACAGTTGAAACACGCAACACGATACAAGAGGTCACGGTCTGCCGTTTCAAGGGGGATTCGTCAAACAACCCCCACCATCATTATTAGGGAAAACAATGCGACCAGTCTGCAACAAGCCAAGTTACGTCACTACGTTCCGAAAGTACAGTGCTTCTGATGTAACGATGTCCGGAGACCTGCATCACTGGACGGCTTTACAACGAGGCGCCTAAAAACCCAAGTCAAGCGAATTCAGGTTGTTCAAAATATCGACAAAGGAAAATAAAGCAATTTGGCCTCTAGGCCGGCAATAACCCAAACAAGTCAGCTGTAAGAGCCTTTCGGTGCCCAGCTGCCATGCCACCCGAAGGAAGCACGAGGGCTGGGATACTGCCAGGTTCCCCAAGCCTAAACAAGAGAAGCCGAGAGGTAGAGGTCGGGCTCGAACCACAGACCTTTCGGTCAGTAAATTCGCGCTCTAGAGCCATCTCGCCCAGGCCAGCAATAAAGATTGGAGCGTAACTTTACAGACAGTTTGGTAGATACAATCGCGTTAGCCGCAAGTTCTGCTATATGCTGACTGGTGTTGTAGCAAGCCAAAATGATTGTAATTAGCGCAACCCAACCGGTTACTGAGCTCAAAAAGCTGCAACGCCTCTTCATAAGACAGGCATACTGTTTGACGTACACATTCTCAATCATTTGCTACACCTGTCAAGTTGCCGTTACCGAGTAGGGCACTGCTCTTGATTAGCGCAAACGAAGAATTGGACAGGCAACTTGGCAAAAGGGTCCTCGTGCTTGGCTAGAGATTTCACAAAGATCTGACCACTACCAGTGGTGTGCATAGTGTCAACGTCCATACAGATAACCTGAATGAGTACTTGGAGGTGTGAGAACCAGGCAATAGTTGTGGTGGTCCTCTCTACTTTTATTTTTATTCCAACACTGTTCCGAATAAAGTCTCCAGAGGTTTATGATTGGGATGATGTTGTTGCTTATGACGATGACTGCCACGGACCTGTGTGGACGAGGGCGAGCTTTAGCTCGAAAGGGATGGTTACATTAACCGCACGAGAGGTAATTGAGTCAAAAGGTGTCACACTTGAGTGAGTGAATGTCTTTATGAGTACTCAACATCAAGAACGAGTACCCCCCCCCCACCAGGTCAAGCCATGAGATTCACGGTTTACAAGAGCAAAATGACAGGGTACATCTAATAGTTGAGGTAGTTATGCCTAGCAAGTTACCATATGTAAGGCAACTTGGTTCACCTTTCAGGGGGAACCCAACCAAATGAGCACAGCTATTTTAGCCATTTTATTGGAAAGTCATGATCTGATGGCAACCTGTGAAACTGCTGATCCAGCATTCGGTATCATTATTACGGATGAAAATAACGCTCCAATGCCAGGGCACCACATACCTTATTCAGCGTTTAGGTAACAGGGTGAAAAAGAAAAGAGGTGGACTTGGAAGGTACCCAATGAGAGCACGGGCGAGATGGCCCAAGTGGTTAGAGTGCGAATTTACTGTAAGGTCCGTGGTTCGAACTCGACCTCCGCCTCTCGAATTCCCCTGTCTAGGCTAGGGCAACCTGGCAGTATCCCAGCCCTCATGTAACCGCCCTCATGTAATGGCAGCAGGCACCGAAAGGGTGCGACAACTGAACGATCATTTATTTCTTATTCAATGAGAGCTCACCATCATTATTTCCTGCGATGCATATACCTGGACTCTGGACACAAACTGATGACACAAACGTCACTGACATCGGCTAGCCGCCATAACTCACACAGATTTGAGCAAACCACATTAAGATCGTAGTCCGGAAGAGGGAAGACGCCAACAGCACCTACACACTTCCCATTTCTTGAGAACGTTCCGCCAAGTCACATTTTATCAATGATACACCATAAGGGAAATAATCGCCTGTTCCCTATTAATGCAAACTAAAAAAGAAAATCACTTCCCCAGTTTTCTACTAGATTCAGATTTGAGCTCCAATTCCACTTTCCTCTTCGGTCATATTACCAATGAACGTAAATCATTCCCTCGTACTCGTGACGATCTACTCTATCTTGCTCCGAAGCCTGAATAGTAAGGAGAACTGGATCAAAACAAGTATTTTTCTATAACCTAGTGTCATCAAGACTTCAGTGGAATGCTTCCCGTGAAGTCTCATTGTGTAATAACGGTGTTTTCCTCAACTTAGCTCTCGATCTGAGCCTCACAAGCTAGCATTCCCGTCAGCGTACAGTAACGCCCAAAACCAGGTCAAGAACACTTGTACAGCGCGTTGTACATAAAGTGTATACTGCAACAACGTTCTGGAAGTTCTGACGCCTTCTGGATGCTCCACTGGCATCCGGCGAATACTAGGTCATGATTAGCTGCTGGGTACAGGCTTTCGACCAATCAGAGTTCGCATTGATGCCGGACCGACAAGCGGCCTGAACTTTGGCCCATTTTGTGCGGGGTAGGCTTCTCGGGCGTAGCGGTACCTAACTGCAAGCCGTAAAGCGGTATCGGTGTGGAACTCTGCCTAAAACACTACCAACTCCTAACATCATTTACGATCCATGCCTTTCTGGAGACCGGATAGTCTCGGTTCCTGGTCTAGCGGGTACGAAAATGGCACCAAACAAACGTGCCCTTTGGTGTATAGTTGCTATGCTACCCGAAAGAAGCAACAGGGCAGAGGAACTACCCAAGTGTAGATAGGAGCCGGAGTTGGGTTGGAACCAAGGACCTCCAGGTCAGTAGGTTCGGTCCTTAACCACTGAGCCACATCGAGCCTATGTAGATTCCAAATGGAATAGAAAACCATGAGTGCCAGTCTTTGGTGTCACTCTGAAGGGCATTTCCGGGGCGAACAAACATCGTGCGTTGGAAAGGTGTCATTTGATCACTTCTGTATACTTCACAACTGGCTTCAGTGTTGACCGAATCAAAGACAAATTTTGTATCCTCATGAGCATCTCCAACAGGCGCCAGCTTTAGATATTATTGTACTCCAATATAGATTCCATCTTGCGAGTGGAGTCAGTCAGCCGAAAGGCTGAGAAGTACTGTACAGTTCTTTTGTCCTTACTGGGAATCATCAGCAGTGCGCATCGAGGAGTTTCAAACATACGACGTCCCGTCCGGTCACCAGCGGCCAATCAGTACTGGCACCGGCACTCAGACATGATATAGCGTCATACTGTAATCGCGTGCTGACTGGCTGCTCGACTGATGAGTTCTCAGGTCACAGATTCACGCAAATCGTGAATTATTCCTTCTTTTGAGTCATTTAATGTTTGTTGATTGTATGGGACATAGGAATCTCCTTTTGTAAGTGAAAGTAATCTATGATAAAAAGGGCAGAAGCACTGTACAACTGTTTCATTCCTATTGAAAATCACCTATAGCGCATATCTCACGAAAATCCCTGAAATGGAAATCTTAGTCTTCATTGTCATACCTCGTTGTACCTCTCTAAAACTTCAGAATCAAGAAATGAGTTCACTAATTGGTATACGTACTTCGGAAGCTGCATACGCCGTAATTAACCATAAGGCGGTTGGGGCATGTACTACGCATGCCCAACCAACGTCTCCCAAGCGTTGTTTTCGGTTTCAAACAAATAGTAGCGAAAGGTTCTCGGGGAGCAGACCACGAATTGAAAGCAGATACCGTTAAACCGAGTGCTATGGATTATCTGCGCCTTCCTGACTGGAGCCAACGTGATCCAGTGTGCATGTATCTGGAAAACCTGGAGAACATGGCGCACTCCTATGCCAAGTGATGTGCCTGCTGTGAGCCTCTAGCGTGGTTGTCCAGCTAAATTTTCCCTGTCGTTGTGCGCGGGGCTTAGGTCGGATGAGGTCTGAGAAGGATTATAGGTCAATCCTGTTGGCGACGCCTTACTTCGACATGATGTCGAGATGTGCTTACTTTAGTGCTGTTCAAAGG